AATAAAATTTTAAAAATTGAATATCATGGAACGAAGATCAGGACAACCACACTTCGACAGAGCTTGAGTGAAGAGTCATTAAGGCAAGTGGGTATTTCTAAAATTAATCAACATGCATAATTTATCACTTACTCTGCTTAACTTCCTATCAATCCCCTATAAATCTCTCTACATGTTCTTCCCAATATATTACTGTATTGTGATAAAGTTAATTATTTTCCATAATGTAATGATAAAACTCAAACATTCATATATTTTAGATTCATTGCACACTAACTGACATATGTCAGGTCTTTTATTGTCTCAATACGGATGATTTTGGCATAACTCTCATGAAAACCCCAAATTTCTATCTCACAAAATTAGCATATCATTAAAAAGGTCTCTAAACGAGCTATGCACCTAATCATCTGAATCAACAAATTAACTCTAAACACCTGCAAAAGATTCCTGAAGTATTTAAAACTCCCAGCCTGGTCCATCACTCAAAACCCCAATTATGGATAAGACTGCCGAGCTGACTGCTGTCCAGAAGGCCGTCATTGACACCCTCAAGCAAAAGGCTATGACAAAGAAAGATATTTCTAAATGAATTGAGTGTTGCCAGAGTGCTGTAGCAAGGCACCTCAGTGGGAAGCCTGTGGGAAGGAAAAAGTGTGGCAGAAAATGCTGCACAACGAGAAGAGGTGACCGGACCCTGAGGAAGATTGTGGAGAAGGGCCGATTCCAGACCATAAGGGACCTGCAGAAGCAGTGGACTGAGTCTGGAGTAGTAACATCCAGAGCCACCGTGCACAGGCGTGTGCAGGAAATGGGCTACAGGTGCTGCATTACCCAGGTCAAGCCACTTTTGAACCAGAAACAGCGGCAGAGGCGCCTGACCTGGGCTACACAGAAGCAGTACTGGACTGTTCCTCAGTTTTGCATGTCAATGGGAAATCAAGGTGCCAGAGTCTGGAGGAAGACTGGGGAGAAGGAAATGCCAAAATGCCAGAAGTCCAGTGTCAAGTACCCACAGTCAGTGATGGTCAGGGGTACCATGTCAGCAGCAGGTGCTGGTTCACTGTGTTTTATCAAGGGCAGCGTCAAGGCAGCTAGCTATCAGGAGATTTTGGAGCACTTCATGCTTTCATCTGCTGAAAAGCTTTATGGAGATGAAAATGTCATTTTTCGGCATGACCTGGCACCTGCTTACTGGTAAATGGTTTACTGACCATGGTATCACTGTGCTCAATTGGCCGGCCAACTCTCCTAACCTGAACCCCATATAGAATCTGTGACTCCGGAAATTGTGAAGAGAAAGTTGAGAGACGCAAGACCCAACACTCTGGATTAGCTGAAGGCCGCTATCGAAGAATCCTGAGCCTCCATAACACCACAGCAGTGCCACAGGCTGATTGCCTCCATGCCACGCCACATTGAAGCAGTCATTTCTACAAAAGGATTCCTGACCAAGTATTGAGTGCATAACTGTACATAATTATTTAAAGGTTGACTTTTGTGAGATAGGAATTTTGGGTTTTCATGAGCTGTATGCCAAAATCATCAGTATTAAGACAATAAGACATGAAATATTTAATTTAGTGTGCAATGAATATAAAATATATGAACGTTCAAATTTTATTATTACATTATGGAAAATAATGAACTTTATCACAATATGCTAATATTTTGAGAAGGACCTGTGTATTTAGAATAGAAAATAAATGTTACATTGATCTAAAGAAAAGAAAATTAAGTATATTATTCAAAAAATCACAACTTTATTCCTTTTAAAATGTCCTTATTTGTATGCTGTCTGTGAGGGTTTGTTACCACTTAAGGACAAGAGAACAACACTATAGTCACAAATAAACATTTTTATTCGATGACACTTCAATACTTACTAAAATTGTTAAATAGTTTACTAACTTAACAGTGTTTTGCTAAATCTCAAACCATTTCAAATGTCTACATAAAAGATGATAAAAACTACACTTTCTCTCTGTCATGTCCACTCTTATGAAAAATATAATTCTGCTTACCATCAAACTCAGCAGGCCCTACACCAACAATAATAATGGAGAGAGGAAGTGATGCTGCCTGTAAAAAGACAAAAAACCAAATAAAATTAATAACTTTTTAACAGATGTACTCAACATTTAAAGATTAGGAGTTTGTTCAAATGTATTAAGATTCTAAAGCTATTTTCACACTGCAGTCCTTAATGCTCAATTCTGATTTTTTTGTGAAATCTGAATTTTTTGCATTGCTGTTCACATTTCCAAATATATGCAACTTGTATGTGATCTACTGTGTGAACTGCATTCATATAGCTTAAGTGTCCCGCATGCACAGCAGAGCACGCAATGGCGTAACAAGCAAGCGTGCTCTGTGTTTATGGAAGCAAACATGGATTGTAGTTCTGGAGACTAACAATCTTTCCCAACATTTAAAAACTCAATCTTTCAAGATGGTTAAACATAAATACTACTCTCCGCATTATTGTCCTCCATGGTTTTTGTTTTTCTTGCTGCTTCTGCATAGCAAGACGCAGATTAGTGGCCTATGTCGGCTACTAATAGCGTTCAGATCGGATGAATGTGACCTGGCTGTACAGACACAGGTCGCATTTGAAAAGATCAGATACGTTCAGTACCACATACCCAAGTGGCCTGGGTCGCATCGGAAAAAAAATGTATCTGTGTTGTTAAGACTGCCCTGAAAAGATCAGATACAGGTCACATATGGGCGAAAAAAAATCGGATTTGTGTCACTTTAGACTCCTGTGTGAACGTAGCCTAATTTATGATGACTGTTTACCACTCTTTTTACTGAGGAAAGTAAATAATAGCAAAAAATAAATTAGTTTTAGGTGTTTGTGTAAGAATGCATGTTGTATTTCTGTATTGAGCCAAATGGAAAAAAAATGGATCAAATTCACTTCTATTGCTGCTGCTGTCTGAACCTCTGACAGCAGCATTTTACAGAAGGAAACCAACATTAGTCCACTTGTAAAAGGTAGCTTGGTCGATTCTCAACACTGTCATTTTCTGTGTAATGGGGGCGTTTGCACTTCCCTTCAGGGAAAATTCAGGGATAAGGTGAAGCAGGTACTTCAGCATTAGTTTAGGAAATGCCTTTAATCTGATGTAACACCCCAAAAAACACTTATAGCAGAGGTTCGATGAGATGTCAACACTTTTTTAGAGCAGGAGCTTTGGGAGGTTAAAAGCAATTATCTGGGAGTTTTCCCTTGCAGGGTCCATAACCTGACAGGCAGTATTTTTATCTAAACTAAATATAAATACATATCTTTTAAGATGTAGGGCCTTTTTCTGTTAACCTGAAAAGACATCATGATGGGATGAATCAATGCACATATGTACTTCACTTTCAGCCTGCAGGTTTACTAGTGGGCCCTAGAATTACTAAAAGTAGAATGGGACTCAGATCTTTTAGCTATCAGGCTCCTCTCCTGTGGGACCAGTTTTAGTCCGTTAGGCAGACACCCTGTCTACTTTTAAGGCTTAAAACTTTCTTTTTTGATAAAGCTTATAGTTAGAGTGTTATCTCTACAGTTATGCTGCTATAGGCTTAGACTTCTGGAAGACAAAGGGACCCCTATTTCATCATTCTGCATCATTCTCTCTATTCTCCCACTCTGCAGAATCTATTAGTTCAATCTCTAACGTTATGCTCTCTCTGCTTTTTCTAATTGTAGCTTCACCTAGTCTGTTCCTATTTGGCTGTGAAACCATCCTGGAGAAAAATATCAGCTTTGCTCCTTCCATCAACACCTTTGTTTATAGATGTTTCGAGATCGGCCTGTTTTCCAGTGTAGTCCTGTTTCTCTGACTGTGACTGGCTGGATGTTATCTGTTCATCCTCTGACATGGGAGTTGGCTCGGAGCTTGTCTTACTGGCTGTGTGTTTCCTGGAGGGACTTACAGTTGCGTTTTGTATCTCTGCTTCTGTCTCCCTGAACCCCAGTCGGCCTCAGCAGATGGCCACACTGAGCCTGGTTCTGCTGGAGGTTTCTTCCTGTCAAAAGGGAGTTTTTCCTCTCCACTGTCTCTACAAGCATGCTACTGTAAGTGTGAGGGTTTGCCTTTTAGTCAATGAGTCGATGCAATCAACTGGTTTTCCTTAGAAAGAAAACTTTGAATCAATTTGACTGTATGATCTGGTGAACTGTAAAGTGCCTTGAGATGATATGTGTTGTGAAATGGCGCTATATAAATAAACAGAGTAGAGTTGTACCAGTGCTAAGATGAAAGGACTATAATTGTTTTTTTAAAAGAACTATGATATAATAAGATTGTGTCTATTTTTTTGTAGTTTCTGTTTGCATGTGTGGAGTGTATGTGCATGTTTGTTTACTCACATTAACCACTGCCTCTTTGGTCTGGACCATGTCAGATATCACTCCATCTGTGATCATCAGCAGCACAAAGTACTGAGAGCCATCTGTAATCTCTGCTGCACAGCTGGGGACACACAAACACACACCCCTCCATACTTTAAAGCTAACATTCTGATGAGGAATAGAAATTCAAAGAGCACCTGCATGTCCTCTGGAAAAGGACAGAGGTTGAATCAAGCTCTAGAAATCAAACATCTGGGGTCATTTTGTGCTGTGATATCTGATGTTATCACAGGAAAACTAACTGAGCTTCAACACTGGCCATCAAAACACATTCGGCAAAACAAAAGCCCCTGTTTTTGTTATTTGATTGCTCTTTTATACTACTGCATCTACTACTACTAATAATAATAATAACAACAATATTTTTAATTCAAAATTACTATCAATAGGCATTATTGTACCCCACTCCCAACTAGAGCAATGTATATCATGGGTACTTGGCTGTCAGATTCTGTTTTGAGCTGGACTTAAAAACATCAGGACCCCATAAAGATTGTCAGTGTCAACCCTCAGAGAGCTCCCATTGAAGCCTAAAAAATTAAATTGAATCTGTGCCCAGGCATGTAACAAAAGAACTAAAAATCTACCAATTCAGCTAAAAACAGCAGTCATGAAAGCAGCTTCAGATAATACATGATAATAAAGCTAACAGGAAGAAGAGATAATTTTTGTTGTAACTGTGCCAGCCTTTCTTTTTTTTTTTTTTTGAATAAACCTCAAAACATATGTATATATTTTGATTGAGAGGGATAGTGGGGTTTAATAAAACAAAACTAACAAAATTTTCAGATAATGTTCAAACCTTTTCACATGCTTGCCGTTGTCCACAAAGCTTATACTGTACATTTAACGGTTTTATTAATAAGCTCACCCTCGGCCTTACGGGGAAACCAGTTATTTTCTAAAACATAGCAAACCAAGGCGGATCCAGTTTTCTGATGATAGAGTTGATGCTTTCGGGTTAAAAAGGGTCTCACCTGGTTCATGCAAACACTTGCCCTATTTAAGAAATATCTGGATAGAGAAACAGAACATATTTTCTACATTAATACAAGGAAATGAAAAGTGTGGGGGTTAAACACAACGCATGGTGTATTCTATTTAGTCCATGCAATAAAGGATTTGAATACTCCTTGGTATTATCGGCTGAGTAAAAGAATGAAATAAACTATTATATAGCTGCATTGAGTTATTCTTTTTTCCCTCAAAGCATCAGAACTTCCTGATCCTCATTTAAATTCAAAAAGCTGGTTAAACAAAGAAAGAATGCTGTTTTTATCAAGGGACCAGGCACATTTTGATGCAGAAGGTAATCTGGAAACAAACATTGCACATAACAGAGAAGGAAAATAGAGCATGCATGAAATACTTCCAGCTGAAAAAACTGGTCTATTCAAACATCAGCAGCTATTGTCTCCTCCCCGCCATAAAGAACCGAACATTTAATGCTCTCCAACATGACCAGAAAGGCCAACAGTTTTGCAACAGCTTTAAATAGGATATTTTAAAAATGATCAGAATAGCAAATCAACTTTTCTCACCACCCCGCGAGCTGCCACCTTAACGTGGTGGGGTTTATTTGAGTGCCTGAATGATCCTAGGAGCTATGTTGTCCAGAGCGTTATGACCCTAGTAGGGTGTCCTATGCCAAAAAAGGTCCTACATGGCAGGTCAGACTGAGAGAAGCTCAGACAACCCTTATGGAGAGAGTTAAACCAAGGACCATGACGTCGCCTCGTATGGCACAGCTGGGGCCCCATCCCTGGAGCCATGCCTGGGGTTGGGGCTCGTATGCAAGCGCCTGGTGGCCGAGCCTTTGCCCTCCGGCCAGGACCAGCCCGAACAGACGACGTGGGCCAGCCTCAAAAGTGTTCTTTCAGCTGCCTTAGTGGGAAGCAATGCTTCGCCAACACTCATTACAGTGCAGGTGGGGAGTTGCTGACCTCGACTTTGGATGTTGTCAGGTGGCGGAAGGAGTACTTCGAGGGTGCACCAGTTACAGAGTGATCAAACTTGTCAGCCTCCCCGGTAAGGTCTACTCCAGATGCTGGAGAGGAGGATCTGGCCAATAGTTGAACCTAAGATCCAGGATGAACAATGTGGTTTTTCTCCCGGTCGCGGCACACTGGACCAGCTCCACACCCTTCATCGGGTGCTTGACAGTTCATGGGAATTCACAAACCAGTCCACACGTGTTTTATGGATTTGGAGAAGGTGTTCGACCATGCCCCTCGTGGTGCCCTCCTGGGGGTGCTCTGGGAGTATGGGGTCCGGGGACCTCTGTTAACGGCTGTACGTTCTCTCTATGACTGCAGCAGAAGCTTGGTTCACATTGCCAGGAGTCAGACCTGTTCCCGGTGCATGTTGACCTCCGCAAGGGCTGCCCTTTATCACAGGTTCTGTTCGTGATCTTTATGGACAGAATTTCTAGCTGCAGCCAGGGACCTTAGGGTGTTCAGTCTGGGAACCTCAGGATTTCATATCTGCTGTTTGCAGATGATGTTGGGCCTTCAAATCCGAGGCCATGTTTCTACACCGGAGAAAGGTGGACTCGGTGGCGAGCCCTTGTCTCAAGTGGAGGAGTTCAAGTATCTGGATTGAGGGAAATATGGAGCGTGAAATCAATAGATGGATCGGTGGAGCATTGGCAGTGATGCAGTCGCTGTATTGGACCACGTGGTGAAGAGGGAGCTGAGTCAGGGTCAAAGCTCTCAATTTACCAATCGAGCTATGTCCCCACCCTTACCTATGGTCATGAGATCTGGGTAATGTCCAAAATGAAAAAATCTTGAATACAAGCGGCCAAAATTAGTTTATTTTGCAGGGTGGCTGGGCGTACTTTCGATATCGGGTGAGGAGTTCAGTTATCCGGGAGGATCTTGGAGTAGAGTTGTTGCTCCTCCATGTCAAAAGGTGCCAGTTGAGGTAACTCGGGCATCTGTTCTAGATGCCTTCTGGTCACCTACCTTGGGAGGAGTTCAAGGCATGTCCTACTGGGAGGAGACCTCATGGAAGGCCAAGGGCATGTTAGAGGAACTACGTCTCTGAGCTGGCTTGGTGTCGCTACAGGAGGTGTGTGTGGATCAGGAAGTATGGGCATCTCTGCTTAGACTGCTGCCTCTGTGACCCGGGCCCAGATACAGTGAAAGAAAATGGATAGCTGGACTTTTCTCACAAATCTATCTTTTCTAATCCAAACTTTTAATTTGTAATCCACATTTTTTATATTCATGGTAAATTCCGTCGGCCATAGTTCCAAATATTCATACTTGAATGGAAATGATCTTTCTGCACCTCCAGGATCATTTTATTATTTCAGAAGAATGCGGAAAGCTCTCCAATAACGGTTAAAACATCAGGCAACCGTACAGCCACTCAGTTATTTAAATGTTTTTAAAGACCATTGTGTACCCTCTTTTTAAATGAGGAGCTCTTTCGATTAAAACCTGAAGGAGAGATTTACAACCGGAATTCTTAAGAAACTGTTTTGTATATTTTCTTTCATAAAAAAAATTCCATGGACACCATTAAAACGACAGATGAGGCTTGATACTGCATACTTTTCAAAATAATTTTTTAATTCAGAATCTTATAATGTAGAAGCTGTTCCATGCTACCTTCACTAATAAGTGAGTGGTTAAATGTGAGTTGTTATTTGGCCAAAGTCTCACCAACTTCACGTCATGTTAAAATATTTTTCTGTTAGTTGATTAATTTGAATAGATGATGATTATTTACAGTCCATATGATTCTTTGTTGATAAAATGATATAAAACAAGGTTGTTTCAATATTATTCACTGATTAATCTGCTGTATAATGTATTAGAATCAATTAAAATATCTGGGATCTTAAGAAGTTCAGGTTTTCTGTTTCTGTTAGGTCTTGTCCATATTTTCTAATTCCGCCATCTCTCTTTAACTTGTTTTGTTCATTTTTGTGTTTAACTTACAGGTTCTTCATTCTATGTTAGATATTTTTCCTCTGTTCCTCTTTGTCTGGTCTTATTATTTTCTGTTTCTCCTCAGCTCTCTCTCTTTATTGGTCTCAGCTGTCTTTTTCTCCTCAGGATTGCTCCTACCTCCTGTCATGTCTTCTCCCCATAATCCACCTGTATTCGAACTGCCTGGTTGTCATTGTTCTGTGCTTGTTTCTTTAATTGTTGTATTCTGTGTCCCATTCCACTCCATGCCTGTGTCCCTGTCATATCTCTTGTTTCATATTTTATTCTCTATGATGTGTTCTACCCAGCAACAGCACACAGGGTACAATGGAGAACATGAATTCCACAACCAGTAATGAAACACATAGCACCATGGTTCACATTTTTTTAAGGTGTAAAGATGCATTCATAATAAGAAGAGCACAGGTAAACAAAAAAAGTTGCAGAAATAAGATGTTTCTTTCCAAGAAGAGAAAAATAAGATTTGTTCCTGTAGAAGAAACACAATATTAGCCTCAACTGTCTAACAAGGCCCTAAATGTTTGTCATAAAAGACAGACTTTGGTCAATTATAATACCTAAGTACCTATAAAGTAACACTACTTAAATCTCTGAACCCACAGTGGTTTTAACTTTTAGAAGATTGGAGTATATCTGTTTTCCATCTGCAAAAACCGTGACTTTGGATATTTCTGTATTTAACGACAGTTTTAGCTAAGTCAAAGGAGATTGCACAATTTCAAAGGCAGAGTGTAAATTGTATTTCTGCTTCAGTCAATCTTAAATCTATGGTATTCCATAAAATAATATTTCCTTCAAACCAATCAGAGAGGCTACAAATTATTACAGGGTTGTAAATAAGATCAGGCAGGAAATTGGTCCTAAATGTTTCAATAATATGTAGATTGAAGGTGGCTAGAAATTTCCTTAAAAAATAATTAGGGCCATCTCCCAAACCTTTTTAAACAACAGAAGAATGTGAAAGAGAAAATAAGTTTATGAGGCACCAGCCTTATTAATTCTGCACAAAGTCACGATAAAAGGAAAGTACACCTTTTTTGAACCCTTCTCTTTTAACTCTAAAATTATGTCATTACAGTGTTTTTTTTCTTCCTGAACAGTGTCATAATCCAAACACATATAGGAACTCGCCATTCAATCTAAAGCAACAGACAGTAAAAAACGAGGGCACACAAAGAACTGATAATTCAAGTGTTATTAAATAATTATTTTATTAATAAATAATAACCCTCTCTTCTTTGAGTGGACATTAATTCATTGGCTAGAATAAGTGGGATTCATTTAAACAGGGTGTCTATATTATTGGTAAAAATAATAAATAAATAAAATAAAATTTCAGGCTTACTTTGCTACTTTGTTGATAACGGGTGCAAAGTTAGTGGGTCCATAAAGCTGCACTGTCCTCAGGCTCTGGAAATAAGACTCCAAAACTCCCTCTATGCCTACACAGTTTGGATGGTCGCTGTCGCCATTCTGTAACACAGAGAATACAACATTTAGAAACTGCATAAAAGGGAAACCTGCACAGGGAAGAACTTGTTTAATAGTAAGAAAGGGGATTGTGTAGTTTATTTATGAAATACTTTGTTGTTCCATTTTCTTTCCAAAAAAAAGAAGAAAAAGCATATCTAATTCCTGTCTAAATGTAAATGGGTTATATGAAATTATAGGCTTTTCTCAAATGTTGCAACAAAGCCTCATTTTGCATAAAATTATGGACAGGCCATAAGAAAAGCAAAACATAATGTTTCATTGTATGAAGTGAGTTAAATTGGAAGAAAATATAGCCAAACTAAACTAGTTCACTTTACTGCAATACTGCAACTATAACCATGTTTTCTCAAACTTCTGCTTAAGGGACAATATTTAATTTCCAATAATTTAAAATAGGGATACAATGATCCACTTCTAATCCAATCATTGATCCAATTCAGAAATAATATTATTCAAAATTAGGAAAAGGAAAATCAACTGAAAGAAAAACCAAACAAAGACTCATCTTCTTTACCTTTAACAAGTTTTTTTCAAACATATATAAAAATTATTTTCCACTCTTTGGCCTATCTACATTCATTTAATTGCTAAACGCACATAATACTTCTATAACATAAATTTATGGCTGTTAAAATGAAAAACATGTCACTGAAGCCAACCTCTTATTTATTGCTCATGATTCCACCATTAAAGGAGCGATAATATTTCATAACTAGGTAGGCTGCTGACCACTGTCTGTAGACCAAAACAAGATGTCTAACCTTTTTCTACTTTTCAGAGCAACCTCCAACCCTGCCCTGAACCGACCCTCCACCCTTCTCACTGAATGCCTCGAATAAACATATTTTCAAAGGATAAATACACAGAAAATCAGGATAATCTTTAACAGGAACATGTCTATTGAAGAATTAAAAACCTCATTTAATGCTTCTGGCAAGAGAAATTCACTTTGGTCGGAGATGTTCAGGTCAACATTTCAATCGGGTGACTCTCCATTTTACTCCTACACAATGTTGTTGTGTCTGTGGCACTTTATAGGGGCTAAAGCCTGAGCTGGGTGGTAGCTCTGCTTATGGAAGTACATTCATCCAGCCCGGCTTGTAATCAAGAGGCTGGAGAACAACACAGAGAGGTGGTTAGGGTGGCCAGATGTCCGGCTTTAGGGTGGGCAGTCCGGTTTTAAATTGCACTGTCCGGCGTCCGGCGCTGCATCCAGCCGGATGCGTATTTGTCCTCCTTTATGAGGCACTAGTCTTGTAGAGCAGATTTTTATTTTTATTTTTTTGCTGGGCTGCAGCACAATATCCAATCATCAAAAATGCATCACTATCTGATCTAACAGATGATTGGCTAAGAGTGACAGCGTGTCAGGTAAAGCTCTGCTTGTCATTGGTTACAAAAGTAAACAGGGATCAGAATTATTGATGCTAAGTATTAAAGTTAGCGTCCTGTCAAAACCAGGACTCTAACTTTAACCCAGAATGGACAAAAGAGCGTGAATTTATGACCAAAGGTAGTGGAGATTCATTCCATGGTTTCTGCCACTTTCTGCGATGGTTTCTGCGATGTGAGCGTAAGCATTCGAGGAAAAGCTGCAATTGAACGGCGTGCGAGTACAGATTAACATAAAAGTAATAAACGTGCAGCAGCGAACTCTTCAATGTTGGCTTTTACGTTAAGTTTTGTCGCCCCTGGATGCTAAAATAACTTGTGCAGAGCTGCAAGGTGGACTATACTATAAAACATCACTAGTCCTACGGAAGTGTAGACTGTGACGTGAAAGTGGATTTCAGTGATTGGCCCATAGCTAAAGGGATGACCACAAAGACAGGTCTGCTGCACACAGACACTTCAGATAAGTTCCCAAAAGACTGAGGCTCTTAAAAATAAAGCTATACTTTTAGAGCAGTTAAATGTGTTTTCTACAATCTCTTTTGTTGTTTAAAAAAATATTAGGCTATTTTATTATGAATGTTTCTTGTTAAAACGATTTTTTTAATGTTTAAGTCCACACATCTTATGCTTTGTGGTATTCTGCACTTTAAAGATTCATCTCGGTGGTCACTTTTTAAACACCACAATGTATTAAATAGATGCAAATGCTGGGAACCAATTCTTTTTTACATTTCTTTGATATTTTGTTCTATTCAGCTACACAAGCATCCTCTTTAAACTACTAAGAATTGTACTATAAATTTGACTTTACCTTATTCTTATGTACACCTTAGTAATTTATTGATATGCCACACAATGTCCTCCTTTTTGGTGCTATAGAAATGGCCACCCTAGAGGTGGTGTTTGATGTCATACCCTTAGTTCTTCACATGAATATTCATCAGTTCTTTCAATCTAAAATAATGAATTATGTTTTTTTGCTCCTTTGAATAAGTGAAGTACACCACTTTCAATAGGCACAAATCAAGAGAAAACTTTAGCATGTAACGACAAAACCAGACTTTTAACATATTTTGGCTAAACAAATGTCATCAACAACAAGTGACGGACAGTCCGAATGAGGAACAAACCAGCAATAGGGCAGGATTACTGTTTATATTTCCTAAATCTTTACTTTCATTACAGAGCATGGTAAAAGAGGGGAAGAGAGGAAGTTGTTGGGATTAAATACAATATTGTGTTTTTTTTCCCCCCCTTCATGCTTAGTTGTTACCATAGGTCTGGGGTTCCTAAACCTTTTTACGTTATGGTCCCCCAAACAAAACCAGCTTCTGAGTGGAGACCCCCTTCCCAAACTAACAGACAACGCAACAAAATCCAGAAGTAGAATTGTTTTTTAAAGTAGCTTTTTATTATTTTTAGTCAACTGAAGTCTGCAATTCCAACTGAATAGCAAACTTTTCAATAAACTGTTGACGAGCAGAACAAAATGTTCAAGATGTTTGAAAAAAAAATCAAAACTCTCTCAGGTGTGTGAAGTGGGACAGGCATTAAGCTGGGCCTAATGTCTCTGCCTAGTGTAATTTGCATATCATTATCGAACTGTAGAGGTGCTCCATGTTTTGTTTTAAGTACTTTTATAGTTAAAAAGCCACACTCACACAAGCAGGTTATAACAAAAGGTATTTTAGTCGCCTTTCAGCCATTGGTCATACATAGATGGATGGGATGAGCCTCAAACTACAGTTTTAAATGTATATGTTTGTCAGCTCAGTAAGATTACAAGTTATTGGTTATGAGGAAAAAAACCTATATTTCTTTTGCAGTTTTTCTTATGGACAGTCAAAATCCTAGCCTTAATGATTGGGGCATCATAAGGAGATTTGTCTACTGTTAAGCCAGTCTAAGGTATGATGAAATAGAAAAGGCAGAAACACGGTTCAGCCCTTAGAAACATAGGCATGTTGGTATGGTATTTTGGTTGGTACATTGGTATGTTTACACAAGAAAAAATCAGTTGGAAAAATAATTATCTAATTTAGCAATGCTGAGCTAAGCCTTTAAGGTATTTGTAGAATTAAGAGACTACATTTAATTCCGAATCACATTTTTGTAGCCAATTAGTACCTTAATATCATAAATTTTGTGCAGATGGAAAGACATTTTTACATCAGCACTTTTCTGCTTGAAGTCTGTAGAGAACAGTATAATGTAAATATATAGTACATACTGTATGTTACCAGCATGATATTTGGGGAGCTCAGACATAAAGTAAAAGTCAAGATGTAATACAAACCAAAAATACAGAATTTTAAACTTTTTTAAGAATGTAATTTTTATTCATCCACCTCTCCTTTAAATTCAGCTTCTTTAAATGTCTTGTAAAGCCCTTGAAGAATTACCTTGTATTTAACAAAACAAGCCCCTCAGTTTCATGTGACCACCTCCTACCATTCCCTCTTGATTGAATGAGGTGAAAGTAGAGGGTTTCTGCTGGATTCCCGCTGGCAGGCAGATGAGCCATCATCTTAATTTGTGTGCCCAGCTGTTGTTACAGCTACACGTCTTTGTCCAAGTCAACTACAAGTGTGCGTTTATAAGTTTATTTTTATGAGTATGTCTTACCAGTGGGAAGGCATGGGAGATTTTACCATCAGGGGGCAGCTTAGCTCCAAAACCGTAGGCAGGAAAAAGCTTGTCACTGTCGTAGTCCTGGATAATCTCCCCCACTGCTTTTAGGGCCATGGCATATGCATTCATCTGGTAGGGACTCATATAATGGAGGGAGGTGGGCTGGGATGGATTACCTTAGAACACACACACATTCCCAAAATACAAAACAGTAGCAATAAGGAATAAGATCTGTCCACCTTGTTTAAAAATGTTTTCACCAATATCATACTGCTCTATTTGCTGATGGTCAAACATTGTCTGAGTGGAAAAACATCACAGAAGAGGCACCTAGCAGGAGTTGTATGATTAATAATACACTTTATGTTCTTGACCAAATGAAATAACATGCTGTAGCAATTAAACATTAAAGCCTGTTTTGAGCATGAGGTATTCTGTTTATTTTGAAAAAAATAAAAATTAAAAATGTATCTTGTCTGTGTCTGATTCTTTAAAAAAAATTACTTCAACATGCCTTACCTGACAGCAAGGAGTTAAAAGAACTGGATGCTGGATGTGAGACAGTTTCTACATCTATTAAATTCTCTTCCCTTACTTCATACAGGCCTATTTTCCCCACATTCCAGTATTCAAAGGCATACAGTATAAAACAATTTTAGATTTTAAAAATGTAAAATTTATTTTTCCAGGACAAAATCCATTAAGATTCTTGAATGTCTTGGCTGAGATGAGAAATAGCATAATGTGCAGACAAACTGTTACATTTACCTTCATGACCTCCATGGCCAATCAAGTATGGGACCTTTCTTTTTTTTTCTAATTCCTTGTTACACCCACAGTATATTACTTTCAATACTCCCCATCATTAGTTAGAACTGAGGAAGCCTCTGCTGAGGAAGCCTGGTTCTGCTGGAGGTTTCTTCCTGTTAAAAGGGAGTTTTTCCTCTCCACTGTTGCCACAAGCATGCTTAGAGTGAGGGATTGTAGTTTCTGTTCAAACTATCTAAATAAATAATACTTTGGTGTATATCTTACAACATGTAATTTCATACAAACCTCTGCACATTAAGTCTACTTTTATTTTAGTTCTTTGTTCTATGGATTGATGAGCATGTTTACATAAATAAATAATAAGTAAGTAAATGATACATCATGTTGTTCCAAGTAACAATTTCTGTCTTCTAATTGGCATCTTTGTAAGCTCTTTCCAAATAAATTCTTGGTTGTTTATTTCTTAGAATAGCACATCTAAAGCTTGAATTACACCACTACTATAGGCCAAACACAGGTTTTTATGATGTGTTTAGTTATGGTTGCTCCCAAAGAATGTAATCAGTAGGGTTTAAGAAAAACCAAGAGATACCCTTGAATGGTTTGCTTGGTATTGTATGACATGCCTGTCCTAGGTAAAGCAGGAACAGAGGTGGTCATAAGTGTAGCGCATTTGAGTAGAAAAACCCCCCAAAACATTCAGAACTCAAATCCAAAGAAAAAATAGCAAGTAAATGTCTTGTTGGACTACATGAATAATGGAAGAGATGCAGTCAAACAACTCTATTGAACTCCAACGTAACAGAAATCCCATGAAACAGACTTTCTTCTTTCAGCTATTTTGCCCTCCTAGATAAGATAAGATAAGATAAGATGTAATATTAGAGCAATTGTGGCCCCGAAACAATCCATGCCTCTTACGCAACTATGTCACACTGGCTTGTTAAAAAATCTTTAAAACAGACAGCGCAGATGATGGTGGACATTTTCTCATTCTACCATGTTTGATTCCGTTCACTGGACCAGATCAGCAATGTTTTCACCTTTTTAATCAATGATCCTTTGAGAAATCTCCATGAAAACAAGTGGTTATAAGAGCACCATAAGATATGAAAAAATGCCCAAATGTGAAATCTAAGCAATCACAATAAAAAGCCAGGTGATGAAAGGCAGGAAAACATTGTGGAGCTAATTGGTTTTGCTTTCCATTTCAGGAGTTTGGTATTCTTCTCAGAGATTAACTTTAAAATTATTCTAAAAACCCATTTTTGCCCCGCTAAAACTGACAGCTGAATGGAGGAAAACAACATCTTTGATATAAGTAAATATAAAAGTGGGTCAATAGGAATATGAAGGGTAATTACGTTGTTATGATGCTGAAGCGTTTTCCAGCACATCAGTTATGGCACATAATATCATATTTTTCATACCTGAATGCCATCTCTCACCGCTGGCCTTTAGATAAGATTTTCTAAACTCTCTGTCTTCTACTCTGGGTTTTCTACTTTTACAGGAGATGAAAGTGATGCAGTGATGTATTATCTCTTATCTAACTCCACTCTCAGATACTCCACATGTGTGCTTTATGGCTCAGGACCAGATCAATACTAAATGGATCATGGTATTTATGTGTTAGTAAATCTGTAACGATGAAGAATCACATTTAACAGGAAATAAAAGGGCACAACTGGATTCTAAAATGTGTTGCATTATAAAAGTATTTACCTTCACACATGACTTTATCACCCGCAATTTTGCGCTCTTATAAAATGCTGCAAAAGGACAATATATTTCCCTACCTAGTTTAAAGTAATACTGGGGAATAGTGAACATCGCATTTATTTCTGTGTAGCTTCAATCTAATCTAAATCCTTATTACTGTACTTCTCTAAATGAACAAAACCTTCTGCAATGACATGCTTGTTGTTTTTAATGCATATCTGACATGAGCTGAAATAAGAAGAGATTCTTATTAACAATTACAAGCAAAATCATAATTAGGTATATCTTTTATGAAAAGATGTGTGAATAAAAAAACTTAACAGGAGTTATTTTCTAAAGTTTTCATTTCCAATGTGAATGAGGTGGTACTTGTTAGAAGTGGTTTGAATCACTTCAACGCACCTTGATATGCTGAGGCCTTGGAGCTCTGTGCTATAGAATGCAGTTTTTAAGTGTGCAAAAAAACATAAAAAAATATTCTTAAAAAATAATTTGATGGTCAGAATAATGCCTATGTGTTTGGATCCATCCATCCATCCATCCATCCATGGATGGATGGATGGATGGATGGATGGATGTTAACTCAGTGTTTGGAAGTGCAATGCTGACTATAACCAGAACAAGAACACCCTCACAATCAAACATGAGTTGTCTTGGGTTGTTTAAAAACTCCATCCAGGGGCCAGAGGAATCAACCGATAAAATAATCTTTTGCTCTTCACCAGAACCCTGAAGATGGGTCATAGATCTATCATTGTCCTAAAAATTAGGCGAGCCAGTCAAAAAAAAACCCCTCATGACTCTAAAGAAAGTCTTCTCAATGTCCTCAAAGGATCTGCGTTTAACTTGGTGACAGAAATGTCTTTTAATAATATATGTTCCTACCAAGTTTGAACTTTTAATCTATATGCTTAAAATTGTATACCTTGTGTGTTTTCTGGAAGTTTAGCAGATCATTTTTATTAAAAGGAAACTACCATGAAAACCTGGTACTGTTTGTTTTAATAAGTGAAAATAAATTATAGAATTAGCCTGGGATCAAAATACTCCATTGCCCACTATCTGTCTATAGGGAAGCCTTTCAATAACTTACCATTAGATGCTGTAAAGTCAATAGCTACTGTGAAGTTCAGTTGCGTCCTGTTGCATATAGAGTGAGAACAACAGACAACATAATGTGCTTCAGTAAACTTAAAAAAGATTATACATCCAACACACAGTCAACCATAAATACACACTGCAATTCAATCAATTTCTGGTTGGCTGCTTGGTGGCTAATTAGTATGGCATGACAAACAGCCAATTCAATACGCTGAAGGTCTAAATGAGTCAAACTAATGGAAGCAGTTATTAAAAGTAAACAATATGAATTACATAACAGCAAATTGTGTTCAACAATGAGAACTGAGAACAAACAGGAATTCAATACCATGCCTAAGTTGTAGATTTAGAGAAAATCCAATAAAGTTTTTGTAGCCAAACACATGAAGATAAACACACAGACTTAGGCAGTACACAGACAGGCACAAGCAACCAAAAATGGGGTCTATTGACTTGTGCTGGGTGTCGGGGCTACTTTTCATTCCACTCACCCTCCGCGGATGAAGTCCACAAAGGTATACTCCGACTCCACTTTGAAGGACAGCAGAGTTACCTGGCAAGCACAAACACACACACGCACAGGCCATCACACAGATGGTGGACGAATGAACGGAGGAGGAGGACAATAATAACATCGGCTCCCAGAAGAGAGGATGGTAAAGAAAGAAAACAAGGTGACCATGAAAGTCAATGAGAGGAGCAGGTCCAAAAAAATGAAAAATAAATATTTCTTAAAAAGAAAAACATTGTTAAGAACATGGCTGCAAATAGGAACTGATCAGGGTACACTTACAGTGCCAGAATTTATGTATTTCTTCTTTTTGCCTTTCTTCTTGGGATTTAAAACCTATGGATGAAAGGAAAAGTCGTTAACTTAATGAGGAAATGATTGAAAAAAAAAAACTCTTTATACTGTAGAGGGACTTGAATGAGCATGAATAATTCAATTTATTCTGAAAGATGTTTAAATCTCTGCAGAGAGCATCCATCCATCCATCCATCCATCCATCCATCCATCCATCCATCCATCCATCCATCCATCCATCCATCCATCCATCCATCCATCCATCC